TGATATTCTTGAGCAAAAATGTCGCTCACGATATGGACGAAAATTGATGGTAATTTCTCGATGTAATCTTACATTAAACGAACCTTGCTGATCACACCAAGTATCAAAAGTCGAAGATATAAATTTCATGTAACTAATCGGAAATTTTAGAGTCTCTTCAGCTAGGATGGAAAGCGGGGACATAAACCTGTCAAAACCGAAACTAATTTTCGGGTGTGGCCGTTTTTCCGTCCAGCTGGGGAGAGTAAAATTATCGGAAATTTCAAGTGTGGGGTTGTGGGGTTGTGGGATGAGGGGGAAGGGGCGGGGATGAGATCGACATTTATCTCACCGTATATTGTCAAGTTCAAAGTTTTACCCCATCTTAAACTTTGAAAGTTTTGAAGATAGTACAGCTTCGATCAACCGTTTTTGCTACCCGTTTCCCAAAGCTTGATCTCAATGGTTGGTTGAATTTTCGGCCACACTGTGCAAGCGTACCCGATCGGTTCTATCCAATCACTTAAGGTTCTAAGGACATTAGCTCTTGGAACTCATGGTGGACGGAATGGGTATGTGAGAAGAAGAGTGGACGTGATAGATGTCCTCGTGAGTGGTAAAATCCAAATGGAATCGAGATTGCTGTGCCTATTCTCAGATTCCAGGTGTTTAAAAGCTAGAGAATCCCACGTCAATCTCTGAACTCCCACTTGTATATCAGTTGCAAACAATGGAGCCCCTCAATCCAAAAAGTCTGCTTCGTGCAGCTTTGCTTTCCACTGCGCTGTGTGGTCCGAGTATCATAAAGGCGCAGGATGTTATCACCGATGATACATATTTCTATGGACAATCTCCACCTGTGTATCCATCTCGTGAGTTCCCATCTTTACATCTCCCATAATTTCCTATCTCTCTTTGGACAAATGACTTATATATGCCACAGCCGAAATGCCAGGAAACGGATCATGGGCAACTGCTTATTCCAAAGCTGTCGCTCTGGTTTCCCAGATGACCATGGCTGAGAGAGCAAACCTCACAGTTGGGAAATCAGAAGGCTTAAACGGTTGTGATGGCCTAACAGGCTCTGTACCGCGACTCAATTTCAAAGGCATCTGTATGAACGATGCCGGAAATGGTCTTCGTGATACTGAATTGGTGAATTCCTGGCCTAGTGGTGTCCACATGGGTGCAAGTTGGAATAAAAACTTAACTTACCACAGAGGGTACAATATGGCAGGGGAATTCAAGGCAAAAGGCATCAACGTTGCTCTTGGTCCCGTTGTCGGTCCCCTTGGAAGAGTTCCAATCGGTGGGAGGAATTGGGAGGGGATGGGCAACGATCGTACGTTTTCTTTCCATCACTTGATTCCCCAAAGTCATACTCTTTTTGGCAATGCCTCGAGACAATCTAAATATCGCTAACAATAAATAGCATATCTTTCAGGAAAGCTCGCCGCTCAAACTGTTTCCGGAATGCAAGATGCTGGTATAATAGCATCAGTGAAACATTTCATTGGGAATGAGCAAGAATATAAGCGAAACCCATCGGGCAACGTTTCCGCCATCTCATCTAATATCGATGATAAAACAATGCACGAATTATATCTTTGGCCATTTGCCGATACTGTTCATGCAGGAGCTGCCTGTGTCATGTGTTCATACAATCGACTAAACAATTCATATTCCTGCCAAAATAGTAAAGCTCAAAATGGACTTTTGAAAACTGAATTGGGCTTTGAAGGATTCGTTGTAAGTGACTGGGGTGCATTGCACGCTGGTTATGCAGCAGCAGAGGCAGGATTGGATGTTGTCATGCCAAGCTCAGACCTCTGGGGAGTGAGTGGTGAAAATTTGACAGCATCCGTTGCCAATGGGTCTCTTGCGGAGTCAAGATTGACCGATATGGCTACTAGAATTGTGGCCAGTTGGTATCAAATGGGTCAAGATGAAGATTTCCCAAAACTTGGTTTGGCGTCTTCATATTTGACACCACATGCCAAAGTCAATGCCCGAGATCCTTCATCAAAGCCAATTCTTTTGAGCGGGGCAATGGAGGGCCATGTTTTGGTTAAGAATATCAACAGTGCTCTTCCCCTCAAGAAACCCGAATTACTTTCTATCTTTGGGTATGATGCACCCGTATCAAGTCAGAGTAACATTGGAAATACTCGATTTTCGTACGGGATGGAAGCTATCTTGGATCTCAATATAACTGACACCCCCATCGATATCTCATTACAAATCGCAAGCAACGGAACCCTCATTGCTGGAGGTAAGAATGAGTTCGATATTCCCAATAAAATAGCACATATTAACAATATGTATAGGTGGAAGCGGCTCAAACGCCCCGCCATATATCTCTGCCCCGTTTGATGCGCTACAGGAACAAGCTTATAATGACGACACAAGTCTTTTCTGGGATTGTAAGTTTATGTCAATTTATGTTTGTAAGCCTGACTAATAGATCATAGTCGTCTCCGTTGATCCTGATGTTGATACCGGCTCGGATGCTTGTCTTGTATTCTTAAACGCGTATTCTATCGAGAATAGTGATAGACCTGGTCTTTACGGTTAGTTGAACATTTCCTATCATACTCAAGAAAAATAATACTAACAGATGTAGATGAATTCTCTGATACTTTGGTAAACAATGTTGCATCAAAATGCAACAACACCATTGTGACTATTCATAATGTTGGAATACGTCTGGTCGATCAATGGATCGAGCACCCAAACGTTACTGCCGTGATTTTTGGTCATCTACCTGGTCAAGATAGTGGACGAGCACTTGTTAAATTGTTGTACGGTGTTGAATCATTCTCCGGTAAACTGCCATATACGATAGCAAAGAACGAGTCAGATTACAATGTGTATAATCACTCGGTACCTGAGGGTATTTATACACAATTTCCACAGAGCGATTTTTCAGAGGGTGTCTATCTCGATTATCGCGATTTTGATGCCAAAAATATAACCCCAAGATTTGAGTTTGGATTCGGATTAACCTACACTACTTTTAAGTATTCCGACCTCTCGAGTACAGTTGTTTCGAATGCGAGCACAGCTTACTTACCGCCGATTACCACCATCATTCAGGGTGGAGCCCAGTCTCTCTGGGACGTTATCGCAAAGGTTCAAGTAACTGTGTCAAACAACGGTACAATGGCCGCCATGGAGGTTGCGCAATTATATGTCGGTATTCCGAATGGACCAGTTAGACAACTGAGAGGTTTCGAGAAGGTCAACATACCAGTTGGAGAAAGCGCAGTTGTGGAATTTGAGTTGACCAGGAAGGATTTGAGTGAGTGGAGTGTGGAGGAACAAAGTTGGGTCTTGCAACAGGGAAATTATGGGATCTGGGTTGGATCGAGTAGTAGGGATTTGCCTTTGAGTGGAAATTTGATCATTGGAGGATCATGAAATTGGAAGAGAAATCAAATGAATCGCCAAGGGTAATGAATAGTAATGATAATGATACATTTATCAAAATCAGAGTTTTGATTTCTTTTGTGACAACAAGAGACTGCTTGTGTTGTGAGCTCTCTATAGTGTGAGACTGTAGGAATGCCTCACACCTTGTTATATCACGACCCTCCTCACCAAAGTCCCCTGGTGCCATGAATTCCTTTTTGGGACGAATCAATATAAAGCTTCCTTCACGGAGGACATCGATTTTTGTTTATCCATGAGCTTCGTATAGATGCTTGATGGGATGTCTGGGAATGAATATACAGGACTTCCTGTTATCCACTCGGGGATTTCGGAAATACATCACGATAAATCTCTCCGTAATCTTATAATTATCCAAGTAGCGACGATTGAGCCAATCTGCTACAGACTTCAAGGTTCGTACAGGATTCAGAAGTTATTCAAGACACCAGCCAAACTTTTGCTAATGTATAGCTTCTTCTGTAAAAGTACGTTCTCTATAAGCTCCACGTGTTCTTGACGTGTCATTAGCTTCAGCACTAGATTGGTGTTGGTGTTGGTGTTTGTGTATCAGATCTGGTCCGTAAGCTTGCTAACTTATCCTTGAGCTCTCTCCACTTGGAGTGTTCAGGGTCTCTTGAAGAATACTGGCATAGTGCCTAGTAATAATAATGATATCGCGGCCAGTTTTCAGATGACGATAGGCTCAGCCACCATCAAATCAATCCGGCAATCCGGGGCACAAAACTTGAACATTGACTCGCTCGAGATTGATAGGATGAGACGTGTTTGTTTCATCGATATACACATACACTCGGTACTAAAATGTAATTCCTCAGAGGATAGATATATACATTGCTCTTGAAGGGAAGGCTGTGTTGCTTGGCGACAGCGATGATTTGTGAGTAGACTATTGATGGTTACGACGAGGTGACGAACTCAAACTGTATACTCATTGCCACATGATGACTTTGAGAATAAGCTGGTAGGTAGGTGGATAGGTGGGTAGGTAGGTCGTTGGGTATTTTGGTTATTGTTCTCTGTCCCAGCGTGTGTATATATCGTACCTAGGGATGTATTAAAGTCGTTTCAGACACACTACGATAGTTCAAAGTAAATATTCCATTTGGCAACATTTAAAGGACCATTCTCCCTCTCCTTCTTACCTGCCAATTGAAGAAATATATCGAAATTTTGACCGGATTGGGGTTTCATAAAAACTACGCCGCATCGCTGCATTTTCCAAATTGCTATCATATCAGCCTCCTTCACATTTACCTACCGCCCTTTCCCCAGATAACCGCCCATCAAATCAAAATCATTTTTTTTCTTTCCCTGAAAAAATTCATACAGGAAAATATATCGAAGAATACCTGAGAAACCGAAACAAACTGTGTATCGAAAATATCGGTCGAAACTTCATGCAGATCATCGACGGTCCACAGCCTATGGTGATATAATTCAAGCAACGGCTTTCGTTGTCGCAGTACATAAGATCTCACTATCGCATTCCCTACAAGACATCGGCATCGATTTACCTGAAAGATAGAACGTGTCGCAGATTATTAAAGGCAGTTTTCGCAGTCACAGCCATGAAAGCCATGAAGAATATGGGCATGAATCGCATGTTGGGTTCACTGAAGCGATGTAGGTAGATCTCGGAGGAAGTTCCACTACTTATGCGCCATAAAGTAAGGGGGTTGATTTGTATTTGACTGACCATGGAAATTCTCCCTTGTAGCCAAAGATTCTAATGAAGAAACTGGAGATCCTCAACACGATACACCCGAAGCAAATGCAGCCAGAAATATTGTATGTTATTCTCGGAAATGACCGAAAGTGATGGTGTTGATCGTAATACAGCGTTTGTTCTGCGAATCTGGGGGTCCAAATGGATCGGTATGTAATCCTACATTCACCTCACTTTGAATATCCTTTCGCAAAGCATTATATCTAATATTTTACAGGGTGAGGAAGTGGGTTATCTGCCTGCGATAGTTGAAGCCGCAGAATCCTCCCCGGGAGCTGCGAAAGAATGCGCCTACCATATTCGAAAGTTCCTCTCCAAGGACAACCACAGCAAAGCCTACGTACAATACAATGCGATAATGTTAATTCGAATTCTGACCGATAACCCTGGAATGACCTTTACGAGGAATATCGATGCGAAGTTTGTACAAACAGTCAAGGAGCTTCTGAGAACTGGAAGAGACCCAAGTGTCAAGCAGATATTGATGGAAACTTTGATCACATTCACGAGAGACAAGGCAAACGATGAAACATTGGCCCCTCTAATTGAGATGTGGAAAAGAGAGCAAGAGAAAATGATGAAATTAGCAGCAAGTTTCCCCAAGCATTATGGTCGATGGATTTTCTCTTCTAATACATCACAGGGTCCCGCCGGTCCCGCCGGTCCGCGAACCCTCGCCGCTCCGCCCTTTGATCCTAATGCGCAGAATTACTTTGGACGAAACCACCATACTCATCGCCTCCCTCCTCCACATGAACTCTCGTCCCGTATCGAAGAGGCACGCACTTCCGCAAAACTCCTCTCCCAAGTCGTACAATCTACGCCTCCTTCCGAACTCCTTGCTAATGACCTCATCCGCGAATTTGCTGATCGTTGTCAATCTGCAAGCAGAAGTGTACAAGCATACATGGTTTCGGAGAATCCAGCACCAGACAACGATACTATGGAAACCTTGATCGACACCAATGAACAATTAAGTAAAGCTATGAATCAACATCAAAGAGCAGTGCTACATGCGCGGAAACTTATGGGGCTTGGGAATGGAGATAGTACTCCTCCGACTGGAACAAGCTCGGGATTTACACCACCACCTGGTCCGCCACCCAAACAAGTTTCCAAACCTGTCCCAAGTAATGGTAAGAGATCAGTGCCACCGATTCCTCCACCAGGAGATATCGCGCCTATGGATGACGAGGACGATGAACGAAACCCTTTCAGTGACCCAGAGCCAAACTCATCAAGGAAACCACCGTTCCCGTCTGATGCGCCACCGAAAACAACTGGTCAGTTTAATGATACTCTTGGTGTCGAACCATATCACCCTGGATTCAAAGAAACCAAGAGCTATGTCGGAAGGCAAGATAGTAGTATAGGCAATGTTACAATGCATGCTGCAGTCAACGAGCAGGTATCAGATGATGAGGACGACGAGCCAAGATACTCAGTAGCTCAGGGTAAACAACCTGTCTATCGATACTAGAAGATTTTCAAGAATATATAAAACGAGGGTAGAGAGATTTCAAAGCATGTGGTGAACATTGAAGAATTGATGCATTTACGATTTGACGGATGTATATTGGAGCAATTTTCTCGGGTTGAGAGCGAAGCGGCATTTTGATACCTTGGGGTTTTAAGATTTTTAAGTGGAGTTTTTAATGGGTGGTCGTAGCTGTCAATTTAAGATCGAAATCATATTTTTTCGATCCTATTTCCTTTCACATCTTGAATTAAAGGGTTGGCCCGAGAAATTGGACGAAATCGATCAATACATTAGATCAATCGGGATCCGATGATATTTCCACTGTATGTTAGCCCACCTCCCACTGCGGAACCATCATTTGCAAGCTGATAGATTGGAATGCATTCAAAGTTTGAGGTGAGATGTCATAGGTATCCATCCGCCTCTGACGTTGATCCCCGCATGATTTCGGGCTAAGACGTCCGAAGTGTGAATTGTAGATTGAAAAGGCTGGAACTCACCGGAAACTTTGGGATTGTATCGTCAATGCTTCATCCCATTTATGATCATTTCCGGTCCCGAATTCGAGATTATCACTATGCAGGTACAATCTCAAGTACTTGCCATGGAAAAGTTATGACAAGATTCTCATGTCAAAGATTGGGCGAACTTATTATCAACCGCCTATCAGTCTTATAAAAACGCCTATCAATACGCCCCACTAATATACTGTTGATGTATGGATCTAGCTTGAGCCGAATAAACCCCACCCGAGCTTCGAGCTTCCTTATTAGGTTAATCCCCTGACCTTCTCCCCCGCCATCTCGGAAATACCCTTGCCTCGGGGTCTAATATCAACGTGAGTATGGAAACCAATGAGATAACAACTGAGCAGTCAATTAGATCTTCAAGCAAGTACCTCGTACGAGACGCATTCAAGGTTCTCGCCAATCATCAGATGGGGAACACACGCGGCTCAGTCATGATTGCTATCACTATGTTGCGGTGTCAAGTATTCCTGCAAGTTCCTGCATTATCAATAACTCTAGATAATGTCAAGCCGATTTCGGTGTCCATGATTTACATTGATTTGTATAAGTATACACCATTTGTTGAGAATCAACAATTCAATACTACCTTACCCCTCTTGTCAAGAACAGTGAAGGCGATGCCAATCTCATTTATATAATACTAGGAAAACGCAGGAATAGCTTCCACTCCAACATCCCGATCGACGTATTTCCTCGTTCTTGTAGCCTTCATTCTTTGCCTCATTGCCATCACCTTTTCGTGTCGATTTTCGGCTTGAAGTTTCAAGATGTTGTTCCCTCGTCGTCTTCCTCACGTTCTCAGTGTCGCCTTGGCAGCTTTACCTTCCATAAAAGCTACATCGATACCACTAAACTCGACGTCACATGGCGATGGAAAGAATGGAGCCGTTGCTAGTGAAAGTTCTATTTGCACAGACATTGGTATCGATATTTTGAAAGTCGGAGGAAATGCAGCTGATGCTGTAAGTTCAATCACACCAAAATTTACGTTCAAATCTCAATTATTCTAACACCCCCACTAGATTGTGGCCGTACAACTCTGTGTCGGAGTAGTTGGAATGTATCATTCTGGTATTGGAGGTGGTGGTTTCGCAACTGTACGATCAGCCAATGGTAGTTACGAGTTTATTGATTTCCGTGAAATGGCTCCCGCCGCCGCTTTCGAAACAATGTATTCCCCTCCTCTCTCCAACTCTGACGCCTCCCTCTACGGTGGTTTGGCAAGTGGTGTACCAGGGGAACTTCGTGGTCTCGAGCACATCCACACAAAATACGGGGTATTGCCATGGAAACAAGTAGTTCTACCTGCAGTTAAGGTTGCTCGCTATGGTTTCAATGTTACCGCTGATTTGGTCCGCTACATGGCCTCTTCTACAACTTCTTACGATTTTCTGACGTACGACGAAACTTGGGCAATTGACTTTGCACCAAATGGGACCAGAGTCAAGCTGGGTGACCTATTTACGAGAAAGAGATATGCGAATACACTTGAATCCATTGCCGAATATGGTCCAGATGCATTCTACACAGGCGCCATTGCAAATGCTACAATTGTTGCACTTCAAAAATCGAATGGAACGATGGAGCTTTCGGATTTGAAAAATTATACTATCGAATCTAGAGTCCCTTCAAATATTACCTATCGAGGTTTCAAAATTCATAGCGGAACTGCTCCATCCAGCGGCGCTGTAGTTTGCAGTGTCTTGAACATTGTTGAGGGGTATGATATGTCAAGTCCAAGTCAGCTGAACTTCTCGACTCATTACTTAGATGAGGCAATGCGATTTGCTTATGGTCAAAGAACTTTGTTGGGAGATCCAACTTTCTTACCAAACTTGACAAGTTATCAGCAGGAGATGCTATCAGAAGATACAGCTGTTGAAATCCGATCGCAAATCGAGAAATATCATACTTTGAATGTATCCGCTTATAATCCTGAAAATTATGGTATTCTTTCTGATGATGGAACATCTGCTTCCGTTGCTGCTGACAAGAGCGGTCTCACAATTGCCATGACATCTACCATTAACACATTATTTGGAAGTAGACTCATGGTTCCAGAAACAGGTGTCATTATGAACAATGAAATGAATGGTAAGATCTTTAATTCAAACTGTGTTTTTGTATTTCCGCATCATATTAATGATTCTCCAGATTTCTCTATCCCAAATACCACCAACGCTTTCGGTTATGCTCCGGCCCCAGCCAACTTCATTCAACCCTTCAAGCGACCCCTCTCCTCCATCTCCCCAACCATCGTTGAATACCCCAACGGTACTGTCTACATTGCCCATGCCTCTGCAGGCGGCTCCCGTATTATCACAGAAGTAATCCAACATCTTTGGCACGTCCTCGACCAAAACATGACTTCAGCTGAAAGTCTCCGTCAACCAAGATTACACGATCAATTATCTCCTAATAACGTTTACTTTGAGTATGGATCCGACACTTTCGGCATCGAAGGATATAATAATGAAACCACTGCATTCTTTGAGGAAATCGGAGCAACAATTTCGTTTGTAGCGGTTGGAAGTACGACTGCGCAGGCATTGAGGAGATTAGGAAACGGAACTTTTGAGGCGGCAGGTGAACCGAGACAACTTAACAGTGCGGGTTATACGATTTAGATCTTAGGAGTGACATTAAGGATACGGTGTATATGTGACACGATCATGAAAAGTTTATTATTCCCCTATTATTCCCTATTACCGGGATATGTACTTTAGAATTTTGACAATAATAAGCATTTTAGTTTACGACTTTTATAAAAAGCAATTTGACTCTTTCTTGAACCCTCGATTTTTTGGCCATCACTCATTCAATTCTAGAAGGGGAATCGGCAAATTACATGCTACATATTATCATTGCATTTTATTGCGTTTTTTAATCACTTCCGAATTCTAGATTTTGCCTCACGCCCTCCCTACCTGGTAACCACGGATTCCACCACTTTACCCTGTCACCATAGCAGGAATCACTTCCATTTTCGGGAAATATGTATAACGTTGAAACAATCACCCCCAACCAGACTCGGTATCAGTAAAGGGACTTCATCGTAAAGCGGACTGCTGAAGAGGTCACAAGATTGAAAGCCAAGGAAACTATACTTGTAGTCAAGTCAAATCATTAGCAGAAAATGTCACAGTTGAATGAAGGGGTTATTTTTTTAATTCTTTTTTGAGATATTGAGAAAATTGAGTGTGATATAAGTACTATAGAGTGTATCACAAGAAATGTCTACGTGATTAGATATGTCAGCAGTTGTCTCGGAGAGAAATGAGCATAATAAGATCGCAGTTGATGTCAAAATGACACGAGAGATCATACGATTCGCGATTCAGATCTAGTTTATTTGTGCGGCAGGAATCTCCTAAAATAGACAAAAGTGTGAAATGAAGTATTTCATACGCGAAAGTGCCAGAATATTTGGTTCGAATATAGGTATCTTTAAACTTTCTTTTTGGTTCATGAAACTGACACATAAAAATGAACAGATTAACTGATCTCCGAGTGCCAATGGCAACTGTAAAGCTATCATTTATTCCGAGATCAAGTCGGTGGACCCCTTAAGCTGGGATATGCGAAATGTGCGATGTAAGCTATGAAGATTAACAAGGCAAACAATCATACTGCATAATATATGAAAGCATGAGTTGGGGACGGAAGATTTCAAATATTGCCAAGAATGGGTAAGATCATCAACAACTGTGGCAACCAAGCAGAGAAATAGCAAGCAGATCTTATTTGACTAAATAATAGATAATATATGTGTGCTAGTACCACACAAAGATATAACACAATCATTAAATGATAAAATTGATCCTTTTAAGAAAGGATCCAGAAAAAGAAACCAATGTTAACCAAGGAGACGAAAACTGGTATACCAAACACACCACCATTGAACCTCGAACCATCCATAATAAACAACCGGGCGCTATTCTTTTTGGTACCTCATCGCAAATGATTCTTGAGATACTCGCCAATTTTCCATCCTGACAATGTACCTCCAATGACCTCCAATAGCCAACTAACAACTCCCTACAAATAGTCCCGAAACGTCATAAAAAGAGAATTATCATCCATAAATTGCTTCCAAAAATCGGGAGCAAATTAATGGCGTTGGAAGTCCTAACTCTAGAAGATATCCAAGATGAACGAAGATGCCAATATGAGATGACAATATAATCAATCATCCGATCCTTGCTGATGATCTGATGTGTACATATTCTATTCCATATTTTGCTATTCCTGTGATATACTTTTGTTATTGAGTAGTAGCCGCAGCCGCAGCTGAAGCCATCTGTGCTAATAATGTATGTTCAGCAGAGACTCTCCTTTCTTGCTCTGGCTTTGATTGTGGTGATCTGACTGGAACAGTGGCGGCGATGTTGGGAACGTGATTGTTGATTTTTGTTGCGTTTTGAGGACGCAATTCAGCTTCTAGACCAGAAAGAATTGACATGTGCTGTG